TTGGGAGGCTAAGCAGGCTTTTGAGAAACTGAAAACAGCTATGACATTTGCCCCAGTGTTAGCACTTCCAGACTTTGAGAAGAAGTTCATTGTGGAGTCAGATGCATCAGGCTTTGGCCTTGGTGCTGTGTTAATGCAAGATAAGAATCCTATTGCATTTTAGTCATGCTCTATTTGACCGTGAACAACTGAAGCCGGCGTATCAAAAAGAACATATGGCCGTCGTGATGGCAGTGCAAAATTGGAAACATTACTTCATGGGGCGTCAGTTTATTGTACACACGGATCAGCGTAGTCTCAAGTACTTATTGGAACAGAAGAAAGTTAACATGGAGTATCAAAAATGGCTTACAGAGTTGTTGGGTTATGATTTTGAGATATTTTACAAATCGGGCTGTGAAAATAAAGCTGATGATGGACTTCTAGGAGTATGGAGAAAGCTGTGGGCACTTCTGGTATGTTGTTACTTTCTCTCACGGTTCCTACGGGAATCCAATTGTAAGATGTTTACAGAGAGATTGATTCTGATGAGGATTTGTGCACATTAAAGAAACGGGTTTTGGAAGGGGTGGTTCAGAATTCGAATTATCAGGTGATTGATGGGAGGGTATGGAATAAAATCAGGTTAATGTTGCCTAAAAAGTCTCAGTAGATTCCTCTCATTCTAAAGGAGGTCCATGATAGTCGGTTGGGAGGTCACTATGGGGTACTTAAAACTATAAAAAGGATTCAACGGCAGTTCTATTGGGAGGGTATGGCAAAGACAGTTCAGAGTTATATGAGTGTTCAGTGTTGTCAAACACATAAATATTCCATGCTTTCTCCAGAGGGTTTGTTGCAACCTCTACCAGTTCTTGCGCAAATTTGGGAAGATATTTCACTTGATTTCATCGAAGGGTTACCAACTTCTCAAGGTGTTAATGTCATTTTGTTGTGGTAGACAGGCTTTAGCAAGTACGGTCACTTTATTGGGCTTAAGCATCCATTTTCTACGATGGATGTGGTATTGAAGTTTGTGACTGAAGTGGTTCTTTCCCCAGAGCATTGTGTCAGACAGAGATCGGATTTTTCTGATTTCTTTTTGGACTGAAACATTTAGGCTAACAGGAACAAAGTTGAAGTTTAGTACTGCATTTCATCCCCAAACAGATGGTCAGACAGAGGTTTTGAACTGTTGTTTGAAAACGTATTGAGGTGTTATGCTTTTTCTCATCCTCATACTTGGCACAAGTTTTTGGCGTGGGAGAATGTTGGTATAATACATCATTTCACACATCGATAAAAGCATCTCCTTTTTCAGTGTTTTATGGTAGAGAACCTCCATCTTTGTTGCGTTTTGAAGAGGGTTCTATGAGGAACTTTTAGTTGGAGTTAACGTAAAGGGAACGTGATGCTATGCTGGAATAGAAACGTCCCAATATGTTGCGTGCTCAGGAGTTAATGAAGAAAATGGCTGATGGTCATCGCAGGGACGTTGGGTTTGCTATAGGTGATTCTGTGTATCTTAAACTGAAGTCGTATCGACAACAAACTGTGGTGAAACATGTATGCCAAAAGTTGGCGGCTAAGTTATTTGGCTCTTTTCCAGTGGTGGCTCGTTTTGGTAAAAGAGCTTATAAGCTTCAATTATCTGCGTCTTCAAAGATTCATCATGTGTTCCATGTCTCTTAATTGAAGTTGCCTTTAGAAAACTGTTCTACGGTTAACTCTTTACCGTTGGAGAAGTTGGATGAATTGGATCAATTGATTGTCCCAGAGGAGGTGGTAGCTATGATGAGGAAGGACATTTGCAACTGCTGGTTCAATGGAAGAATTGTCCTTCTCATAAGGATTTGTGGGTGTCGTATGTGGAGTTTGTTGCGCAGTATCCTTTCTTCAAGCTTGAGGACAAGCTGAATTTCAAAGAGAAGAATATTGATAAATATTAACGGTTTTATTTCCATAAGAGGAAGAAAGCTGGTTTGGGAAAGACTCGAAATGAAACGGAAGGTTTGGATGAGGCGAAATGAAATGGAGGATTCGAATTAGATAAGAAGTTTGAAAAGGAAGTAAAAACTCAGAAGGAATCGGAGGTTTTGCCGTTAGAGCTGTTGAAAAAGGTTTAAATAAAGTAGCTGTTAAGTGTTTAGTATTTTATGCTTGATTGTTGTAAAACCTTAGACGTGATGAGTCTGAGCTCAAGATGAGTCTAAGCTCAAGATCAAGATGAAATCTTGAGATTAAGCATTTCGAATTCAGATTTGTAATCGAGAGATACGATTCAGATTTGTAATTCTTTCATTCAATACAATTGTTGAGTGTTATTATACTTTACAATATCGAAAATCTATAAGATTTACATAACACAAACATAATGATGTAGAAGAAGGTCGAATAATCGTGTTTTCTCTAGAAGTTTCCTTGCTCCATGGACATTACAAAGTGACCGTAACTAGTCCATGGATGAAGAACTTCTCCACTAGCTTCAGCTTTGGAGGTAACTAAGGAGACTAGTCATCTTCAAGTGGTTCAACTTGACTCTGATGTCAGAATACCGAACCATATCAATATCAGACACTGCGAATCATCCCATGAGACTGACTGTACAAAACATATACAAAGAAATGTGAAGCAGTGGGTTTTTAGAGGCTCGACGATTTAGTATTTACTAAGATTTTAAAGTAACCATGGTCTAAATAGGTTCTCTCTTTTAGTCCTTCAAAAATATATATCATAGACATTATACAGCAGTGTGCTATATATTATTACTAGGTGATTTTCCCGTGCTCATGCACGGGTATGAATATTCATAAAACTAAAGTTTTAGAATAGTTAATTGCTATTTAATTTTAGTTTTAATTTTGAATAAATTTATATTAATAAATATTATATTATTCTAATTATACATATGACTTTAGATATATCATTGTTGGTTTAATTATTTTTTGGATCAATAGTCGGTTCGGTTATCAATTTGGTATATGGGATAATATCTATTTTTCGAATTCAGCTATACTATTTTTTATTTTAAATATAATAAAACTTTGATTAATTTTCTTATTTTCATTTCGGTTGGTTATTGTCTTAGATATGTAAATATATTATAGTTAAATTATGTATAACTTAATATATACTATGCTTAAATGAAATAAATAATAAACTGAAGTGTTTGATTCAAAATTACATAAAGGAATATAATGATAATATTTTGAAGTCTCATACATATATATAAATTCTACAAAATAATTAGATTGTAATTGGTTAATATTTTATTATTCTTTTTAATATGCTTTGAGTCAACCTCTAATTTATATGTATAAAATTAAATAGATTATTATTATTATTATTATTATTATTATATTATTATTATTATTATTATTTAAAATTATATGTTCTTATTGTAGTTAGAAGTTTAATTTTGGATATAAATTAGACTAGTCGAGTCATTCATTTTGTGAGCATATTGAGTTAAATATATCTTTAAATTAAAATTGAAGTATAATTACTTTTTATTTGAGTTAAGTCAAATCAAATTATTTTATTTATCGCTTAAATATACATGTATTTTCATAATATTTATTTACTCTTTATTTTAGTTAGTTTAAATCAAATTATTTTTATTTATCGCTTAAATATACATGTATTTTTATAATATTTATCAAATTATAAGTTGATTTCTTAAAAATATTAGAAAATAGTGTAACTGATAAATTTTTGAATGGTCATAAACATATATATTTTTATTATTTTGAAAATATATTTTATGTTATTTAAAAATATATATTAATGGGGTATTACTATTTTGTCAACTTTCCTTTTTAATAAAGTCATATTATATACATATATTTTCGTTTTAAAATTTTAGAAATATTTCTTTTTTATTATATATGTTATTTGGAAAAAAAGTAAAAAGGAAACTAAATAAAAAAAAATTAATAATAATCTTAAAATCTAATAATTCATTAAGGGTATCTATGTAATCAACCATCGCGAGAGTTAAACTGAGCGCGACACGTAGAAAACTGACTTTTCAAATAATATTATAGAGATCTGATATTTTCAGTTTCGATGTTCTGTTCTTATTAGAATGCTGAAACAACACAATCAAAATTAAAATTTCATGAATCAACAAATCTTAAACCAACCTAACGACTAGATAAAGATTCGAAGTTTATTATATGTTTCTCAATAATTCATATGTACATATAACTCACAATGGCTGTATGGAAATGAAGAATGGGTTTCAGTTGTGTTGTTTTATTATCTCGGCTGCTAGAATAACAAGCTCCACCATCTCAAACCCTGCAGCAGAAACAGAATCCGTCCTATCACAGCTAGATTCACTATCAGTAACTGATTCCATGTCTGATTCAGCCGACCAGCTAATAGGTATGGAGATACCAAGAGCAGTCTTTAAATTGGTTGCCTCCACAAGGATGTTGGATATCGCTCCTTTGCATGTTCTCGTAGCTGTCTCAGTATCATTCGTATCCTTTACCTATACAATAGAAACAACCAAAAATTTGACACAACATGAAGGACCCAAAAATTTAGTGTTGAAAATACCTTTATGAGCGCTAGACGAAGCCTGCGGATTGAAGTAGTCAAATGCCCCATGCTTTCAAGGCTCTCTTTTAAAGCTGCGTATTCTACTTTCAATCTGCCAAAACAATAGTGTTCGATCATAGATTCTCCAGTGTGATCAGAAAAAAAAAGACGCCACAAAAACCAAAATATTTGCCCATGTAAAGGTAGGGTGACAAACCTGGCATAATCAAAATTACCAGCATAATCTGATTCAGTGTTCAAGTGACTTCCGCCTTCTCTTGCACTTGGGTCAATCCAACGATTTATGTAAGACTTCTTCCACATATTCTTTAGTCTTCCCTCGTTCACATTGCTCATAACTATTCTGCCACTTTTTTCCGTTGTTTCTTCATCTCTTGTGCCACTGATTTTGCTGGCAAGGACATGAGTTTTTAGAACGTTTCATTTATTCTTTACATAACAAATATGATATATTTACAACAGAACTAATCTTCTGGCACTGTTCTTTAATTGTTCTGACCGTACAAATGTCACTACCATGGCAGGTACGAGTAATCAGTAATACAATAAAGTAAGTCACTGACTTTGAAACAGAAGAGAGATAAAAAATTATAAGTGCAGGATGGTATCGTACTCTTTTAGCGATTGATATTCCTGTCGTACTCGTGCTAACTCCATAAGCGTTCTCACCTTTTCGTTGGTAACCTAAAAGAATATTCGACATGTTTCAGAACTGGGTCAAACAGGCCAATTTTTTCATTCCAACACCTTGAAACTACTTAAGTGAAAGAAGAAGAAACCTGCAAGACATTCGTTTGAAGCTCATCTACTTTCCGTTGGAGAGCTACATTGATATTTTCTTCATGTAAATGTCTTTCTTCCTGCTGTGATAAAAGTAAAAGAGCCCCAACCTAACAGTATCCGAAAATATGATAAAACATACAGTATGGCAGCATAAAGGAAATAATGACTACATAGAAACAAAAGAGACCAAAAGATTGTTTCTTCCATTAAGCATTGAATACTAATCAACATTCATCATGAGATAAAATGTCGTTATAAACCTTCTCACAAGTGTATCATGGAAAGTAATTATTCTTTTAATAACTAAGTAATGAGAATAACCTTCTCTTGTAGTGCTTGTGCAAAGGCTTCAGATGCATCAGCTCTATTTTCATCCGTGATTTTGGTGGAAATAGGTTCCTCAAGCTGCATTCAGAAGAGATACGCTATTACAACAAAAATCATGATAATCTGTACGAGAATAATCATCCACGTCGCAAGCCACTTTACGTTATATATGATAAAGTATGATACTAGATGATGCTTGTCAGCAAAAGGGCCCAGTGAAAATCACTGAAGACTAATACATGATGTCGCTATGAGTTCTCTTCCAGTAATACATCATGGGTCGGTTATAAAATAGTCTATTGCTTTTACACTAAGAAATGAGTATAACCTTCTCTTCTAATGCTTGTGCAATGGCTTCAGATGCAACAGCTCTACTTTCAGCAGTGATTTTGGCAAAACTAGGTTCCTCATGCTGCATTAAGAAGAGAAGAGACGCTATTACAACAAAAATCATGACGATTCATAGGAGAAAGTAATCATCCAATTGTCAGAAAAAGAAATCGAAAAAGCTAAAATAATGAGGAAACAAATAACTGTGCCTTCCTAACAAAAACAAAAACATAATGACGTAAATATCTTCCGGAAATTAGACCTTAATTACTTGGCAAGAATCAACAGCTGTGGTTATATGCACATCCCGGCATTCAGATTCATCTGGCTTCAAATCATGTTGCAGTGACACTATATTCTGTATTTCCGATGAACCAAGTTTAAGTTTCTCCTCTAGATCTTTGAAAATCGATTTAATGAATAGTCCTTCCTCATTCAGTAAATTAATGATGTAGTCCCTCAGTTGAACATGATGATGGCGCACATCTGTAATTCCATTTACAATCAGCCCATCTGCAACAATCTGTAAGGAAGTTAACTGACACCGCAAATAATTTTTCACAATAACTATAATGCATTAAGTACCCACATTCTTGTTTTCCAAAGCATGAACCCTCTTCTTCAAATGATTCTCAATTTCTAAGCCCTGGGGATGTAACAAATGTCAGCCGTTAAGTGAATGCTGTATCTAGTTTCATAGTACTTGAAGAAGAGCAGACGAGGAACGAAAGGGTACATACAACTCGTAGTTTACTTTTAAGATTATCCACAGTGTTCTTGACCTTCCCCAACTCTCCTTCAAGTGCAGCCTGTCTGATAAGAGTTGTTCAAATAACAGAGAGAAACAACAAATAACCACAGTAATCTAACAAATAATACTTTGTGACATAACTATGCTATAACTAAGCACACACATATGTCTTGTAACACTTCCCATTATCCTAGATTCAGAATCTAAAGTAATAAGTGAGTAGAATCTACTATAAAAATTGACTTTGCCTTCAAATACATTATCAAGGTTTCTCAGTAATCCAAAAACGAAATTCAGTCCTGATTTACAACGTCACAAGAACCGATATTGGACTAATTATATAGAAGTATCGCAAAAACAGTAACTTTATTTTGAAACCATACAAACCAGACTCCTGAGAATACAAACCAGACACCTACATCTTTGGTAAACGCTAACTTTTATATCCCTGCTAAGTACGATTTTCAATATGTTTACTAACTTTTGACGTTTGTGAATCGAACTTTTTGGAAATCATACAAATATAGCAACCTTATCCAATATTTTCCCAGAAAACTCATTTACTGATATCCAGAGGTACTAGTTAAGGAAAAACTATGCGAACCAACTTTGGCAGCCAATGGTAGATTGGCAACACTCAAATGACGAAATAAGTAGCTTAGGTTAGAGATAGTATGCAAAAAAGGGTAAGAGATGTTTTCAGAAACTTACAACATATTCTGATGTTGAAGGATCATTAAAAGTCCATGATTCCTTAGGATCCTCCAACAAACTTGCACACTTGTCATGCAAATTCACTTCAAGGGACTCACAGAGCGACGCTTTACGGATATCATAGAACTTCTCAATCACCTGAGAGAGAGAGAGAGAGAGAGAGAGAGAGAGAGAGAGAGAGAGAGAGAGAGAGAGAGAGAGAGAGAGAGAACAGTGAGGTCACTGACGACCATAAAGTTAAAAAAAAGAACGTGATAATAGGGTGGTAAACTATAAAGATAGGAAGCTGCGGACTTTAAAAAAAAAACCAAGGAGAAGGAAACGTTATAGACTGTTGGGCATAAATTATATTTATACATGAACGGGTAATTTACCTCTGCATAGACTTTAGTCTGTTCTTCAAGTTTTGCCACGTCAGCTTGCAATGTGTCATTTAGTCTCTTCTGTACAAGACAATCGGAGCTGAGTTCTTCTAACCTGTCTTACGATTACCAAAACAAGGGCGAGATATATAAGTAAGACAAGCTAGGAGAAAGCATAATGTAATTTGTATGTCTGTTGTCCACTTTCAGACGCACCGCTTAGATAATAACTATCCAGTCTTAAATCCTTGAGGGCGGAAAGTTTTCATAGAACACGGGTTTTAAAGAGATTCAGAACAGCACTTCTTTAGAGGATAGTATAACCTCTAGATCAGTGGAAAGGGAAAGAGAACAGGGTCACAATTACCGCATCTCAATTTCACCAAGTTTATGTGACATCCTTTCAGCTTTGTCTTTAGCTTCCTCAGCCTAGTTAAATTCAAGGCAACATCAAAGAGTATGCTAACAGGAAAATAAATATTTGAAATAAAATTTGCCTCTTCCCATTAGACTGAGATGGAATTCTCTCATACCTCCATAACTGATTTATCCCTTTCAGAAAAGGCAGCTGCCACCGAGCCCTGAAAAAACCTAACCTGATTCTCTGCTTCCAAATTCTGAAAGAGAAAGAATATTTAGATGTTAGGAGGATGTGTTTCTACCAAATAAAGCTGATTTAAAAATAAAATAAAAAACTATTATGAAAGGAGAGAGACCTTTGATACTTCTCCAGCATGTAAATCTGCTAACTGAGCCTGAAGAGACAGTTTGTGGGCAACATTCTCAAAATTCAAAACAATTTATTTGAGAAACTATATAGAATACTCACTTTGACCCGGTAAGCTTCTGCAAGTTCCTCTTGAAGATTGTGTTTCTCTCTTGCGCAATTAGCCAACTTCATTTTTAAGCTCTCTATCTCCTGCCCCAAGCTAGCTGTCCTAATAGGGTATAATCCAATGTCAGTTTTACTTTCCAGAAACAAGGTGCTTAAATTTACACATCTACAGGTGAAAAGAAAAGAAAATAAAAAAATGTATCTTCAATAGCTGACTAACAGACTCAGAAATCTATCTAATAAGGAAGTGGGATACCTCTGGAAATGCATCCGAGTAGCCACACCAAGAATGCTAGGTCCAGCTTGTTGCATGCACAACTGTTCAATATCTTTCTGCAGTTCATTACGCTCTGGTAATAAAATAATTACTGTTTTTAGAACCATCGAGTCCCAAAAACGGTGATAGATAATATCTTCAAATAAGCATAATGCAAAGACAGTAGTAAAAGAGTTAGGAAGTGATGGATGTCTAAAATGCTTCTCAGGTAAATTAGCTTTGACTAAAAAACCTTTAATTTTTCTTTCTAAGATTCTATGAAGAAAGCATAAGTAAACAACTGAAAGAAATCATATTTTGGCAGATGGATCAGAATTTACTTCAAGAAGGCATCAGCGAAGCAAATGTAAACTGTTGTTATAAGCCTAGAAGCATTTTCAAGGTCTAGATGACTGGAAACAAGAGATTTAGAACAGAAGTTGAGGAAACGTACCATGTTCGAGTTGTTTAACCCGAGCCCTTAGGCTCTCGTTCTCATCTAAATTATGATCCATGTTCGATGCGCAGCAGATTTGAAAGTTGAACTTGCTTGATTTGGAAGAAACAAAAACTAAATCCCTAACAAACCCAGAAATCAAAATTAGAAGTCAAATCAAAATCAGGAACTCGAAGCCAGGGAAGAAAATTCGGGGAATCTTGAAAAGTAATAACAAACGGATTTAAGAAGATGCTATTCAGAAAATTAAGAATTGAATCGAGAGAAGAAACAAGGATCTGAGCGAGAAATGGTTTGTACCTACCTTCGCCCAATATCTTCTTCGAATTGACCAGAAAATGTCTTCGTCAGAGTATGTTCTCTCGGTATCTTTTATATACTAAAGCCCAAGTCGCACGACCAATCTTAAAATGACACATGGCTAATCAAAAATAAAAATCAGTTAAACAAAACAATGATAAAAATCAAGCAGTTAGAGAATGTAAAAAAAACAAATTAAAAATAAAAACTTTATCCAACAAAAATCTTACGCATCCTTATTTTTTTTAGCAGAAAAAAAAATCTCTACATTTTCTCTGATCACTACCACCACGTTCTAAGAAAAACTAGGTCATATATGTAACTCCCAAATCATGTCATCTATATATATAAACGTTTCATCTTCTACAGTCATCTTACTTTTTTTATCTGCTCTTTTTCTCTCTTTTATTCATATGGGTTCGTCTACTTTATCAGAGGGAGGGGGCGAGGCTTTTTGAATGTAACCACAGAAAAATAATTCAGGTTTATAACTACTCTTTATCCAGATTCAGTTTTGTTTCTCAACTTGATACTTTTTTTTGCATGATTCACATTGATGATGTCAAATGAGTTTCCTCAGATAAACTCTTCAAAAACAAATAGAAAATCAAAGCATTCTCAACTACAATTGAGGTAATAATAAGTATGCATGACTGGTATATAAACGATTTTAAGCTAAGATAAAAATCTACTTTTTCTTTCTTTGACAAACAAAAAAAAGCTGAGTATTAAATTGTTTTTCCAATGGATTATTTTTAGGAAGACCAAATGACAAGAAATTTGAGCATTCTGATATTATTCTTTCAGTTAACCATGAAACCATTTAATGCTTTTGAGTTTTGGTTTATCATGTTTATTACAGGACAAAAGAGTCTACTTCATCTTCTTATTACTGAGGAACGTCAAGAATTGAAAAAGATATAATGACAACGAGATTAAGATCATTTTTCATACATGTGCTTTTGTTATTCGTAATTGTAAGTAGTTACAAGTTGGTTTTATTCAAATTATTTTTACAAGTTGGTTTTGTTATCTATTTACATTCATGCATTTTACTGTTATATAGTGTTAATATATATGTTAATTTAAATAAAATATTCTGTTTTTATTCACAATTATTTGCAAGAAGAAGATAAGAATCAACAAAATAATATGTTATTTTGTTACTAACCAAATTTTTAAAAAGCTATTTGGATTACTCTTTGTAGTTACTTAATTTATGTAAATTATGTTTTTTTTGCTGAAAATTGTAAAATTATGTATATTGCAGTAACTTATTTATGTTTTACTGTTTAAGTCTAATATTTGATTTGTCAATATATAATTCCAAAAAGTAAAGTTTAACTATAATTGATTTATTAGATGCAAGTATGTAACTCTTAACTCTTGATTATCTATATTAATGTAATTGTTTATTTTTACCTAATTAAAAGTATTTGATTTAATTTGCAATATATATATAAATAAATTGTCATCCGCGCTGTTGCGCGGGCAAATATCTAGTATTCTGTAATTTCTCGGGTGAAATACTGCTCTTAACGAGACAAAATTCATTTTAGCATATTTTTACTTATTCTCACTTTTACTTACTCACTATTTCTCTCTCTTTTATTATTTTCCATATAGATGGTTAATTTTGAAAGTGTCTATTCTTACCTAACTGAATTAATGATCTATTATAACTTGCCCCTCACTGCTCATTATGAGCAGATCAACTTTGGCAGTGAACTCATCTTCCCACTGATCATTAACATTGTTAACCTTCTTGGAGCGATATGTTTCTGGGTTTTTGTTCGTAGAACTAGCAGCCATGTTCTCTATCAGTTCGACCGCACCATATGTGGTATGTGTCATGAAGTCTCTCTTGCTTGCAGCGTTCAGAGCATTGTGGAACTCCCACTCAACACCATCATAAAATATTCCTAGAACATGATCCTTCTCAAATCCGTGATAAGGGCACTCCCTGAGGGAGTCATTGAATCGCTCCCACGCATCGTTGAATGGTTCATTTGCTTGCTACTTGAAAGAAGAGATCTTATTCCTGAGAGTTGATGTTTTAGACTTCGAGTAAAAGTGTCCCAAGAAGGTTGATCTGACTTGCTCCCATGTAGTGAGAGAGTCTGTAGGGAGCGACTTGAGCCATCTTGAATCCTTGTCCACTAGAGAAAATGGAAACAACATGCACTTGATATAATCAGGAGGTACTCCATTAGCGCGGGTGAAGCTACAGATCTCTTCAAAAGTCTCAATGTGTTCCATAGTTATCTCAGCTGGGAGCCCATGAAACATCTTCCTCTGCACCAGATTGATCATAGTAGGCTTGATTTCGAAGTCTTGTCTAGCAAATGGTGGTGCAGCAATCGCGGAACGCATAGCAGGGATGTTCCACGGCAGATTTCGCTCGCCGATTTGAGCAGCTTGCTCCTGCTCCTCTTGATGTTGACGAGCAGCATCTGGAGCATTTGTTGTTGCATCAGAGCCAATTCTGCAGTGAGATCATTCTGGTTGCCATGATCGCACATTGTGGCGTGAGTCGACCTCGGTTGTTGTCTGTTGGTTCTTTCTAATCTTGCTAATTCTTCGTTGGTGAGTGTGACTAATGGAATTGAGGTGTGGCTTCGTTGGTGAGTGTGACTAATGGAATTGAGCAAGTTAGATGTTTTAAACTAGAAAAATTGCCAAAAAATAAAGGTACATTCTTGGTCCCCGGCAACGGCGCCAAATTGATATTACGTGCAAACGCACACCAATTAACCTTATGTGCACACTACCATAATCGAATTGTATGTCGATGTAGCACTTTAGGATCGAATCCACAGAGACCAAATATTACACTTTATTTCTATATTATCAAATTTAAGCTAAAAAGATTAAGTGTTGTGAAGAGCAAAATTGTGAGAAACAAATAATAAAATTGGGTTTTAAATTCAGGATATAAGGATGTCAACCTAGGGTATCTCATTGGGTGTTAACCATACTGAACCAAACAATTATTCAAGCTCTTTAAGTGCAGCCTAGAACTTAGATTTCTTAACTAGAATACCCTGCTCTCGCAGGTGTGCTCTTTTCGCGGAAGAGCATGATACATATGCTCTCGCGTGGATCAACGCTCGACAGCAAACATTAAGCACATACCTAATATGCTCACATCACACCCTGATATCTACTTTCGCTGACCAGGGATGTGATGCTTGCTCTCAACAGATCTAGCAACCTAATTCAGGATTAATGATAAAAGATTAAACTTGGAATCAAATACTAAGTGATCAAATCAGTATCAGCAGTAAGAACAGTGGGAAACAAAGGCGAGAATTATTCTTTTTTTTTGCGTTCTTGGTATATAGATGATCTCTGAGTTGAGGAAACTTTCCTTGAGCGTCTTGATATTCTCCATATAATTTGCAAAAGCTGATCATTTTTCTGGTTCTGAAATCATCTTCACCATTTGAAAATAATTCGTTGCAAAAGTAACATGAAACTGATGTAAATTCTTCATACACTCTATTGCCTAAATTAGCACTTCCCACCTCAGAATGAAGAGGCGAGAAACTAGCCCTGGCGTTTCTTGCCCTATGTCTATGCGACACCTGAGTTCCAGCCCAAAGCGTTGATTTTGTTTCCGCTAGTATGACTGTGTCTCTGAGACTTAGTTATTATTAATATATGCTATATCTAACTAATTATTTTAATATATTTAAAATAAAATATCTAAAAAGATATTCTTAAATATCTTTTGCTAATATTAGATTTTAATAACATTTTTAATATTTTTATTTAAAATGTTAATATACATTTCTTTTGAATATTTATTTTAAATAATAAATTCAACATTAATATTAAATATAATTAAAAATAATACTAATTCATAATCATTTATATAATAAGAAATAACATTTATATAATATGCATATCTACATAATTTAAATTACTACACCAAGTAATAAATATAAAGTAACTTACTCAATTTATTAACTATTTTATAAATTAAAATATATTCATGAATTTTAAAACATACTTTAACTTATTAACAAAATACCAGAGTATGATATCAAAATAATAAATAATTTCATAAGTTAATATACATATTTAAATTAAAATATGAAAAATTATTTAATATATTTATCAAGTATGAGACGAGTAAAAGGACAATAGTTAATTTGTATAATAATGCTGACAGAATATAATAGTAAATAATTTTTACATATATTAATTTGTTTTTAAAAATTGTACTATAATTTTTATTTTTAAAAATATAAGTAAAATGAATATGAGGCAGGTTAAATAAATGGATTATCTTATTTTCATAAAATTATATTCAGGTAAGTTTTAATTTTATTACTAGATTTTGACCCGCGCAACCGCGCGGGTGTTTGTTTTCGTTTATAGTTAGTTATATTTATTTGTTTTCACTTGTAAATTGGTATATATTATAGTAACCACATATTTACGATATGTATGGTAAATGTTTTTCAAACATAATAATATTATATATAAGTGTTTTAATCAAATAGATTGTTTCAAATTTTCTATATTATACATGTTTTTCAAACATGTGTTTGTTTCTTCTTCTTCTATATTTTATTGTTTGTTAGATTAGTATTTTGTTTTTAGATAAAGTAATATAAATAGAGCTTGATTAAATATTAGTATACTTTAATTTGCAAAGATAATATAAACTTCTAAGAAATTTTTGCTAAAAACTAAACTTATAGCTTCATAAATTAATATTATAAAGAATTTTATTAAAAACGAATTTTT